AGCAGGAACTTTCGTCGGGGTCACCACTTTACCAAGGGATGGTAAGTAAAAACGCGAGTGAGGTTTGGAACAGAATGATTTATTAGAACGTCTACTCGTTTTATTTATACGTTTGGGGTAAACATTAATTTTACTCAAAATATGACGGACCAATCATAAACGACTAATAGTTCACGGGCCTGCCGCGCTCAAGGCGTGTCGCTGCTGTCGTCGAGGCGTCTGGTACAACTTCATAGTTCGTCATGAGAACATGTACTTAAACATCAAAGTTTATTGAAATTAAAAAATATTTGCTATCTAAACAAAACATCGACTCGAACAAAGATTAATCATGTAACTCGATTCAACGTAGTTGTGAATTTTATCGGGAAATATCGGATGCAAAAGGATTACAACTCTAAGCCAGTGCTGCAGATATCAGTTTTTGAAAAAAATGCAATAGCAACGTATTTTACCGGGATTATGAAGAAAAACATGCTTCTATAAGCCGGGAAAGTCTGTCGATGTTTGAAAAATATGCTCTAAAGAGATTAAAATACAGTTTATGTTGCTTTAGAGTTAGACAGTATCAGAGATTTTGCATTTATTTTATAGTGATTCTGTTTTTTAAAGTGTATGACTGCACAGTTGGCGCGGTGGCTGGGCAACCGGCAGCCGTGTAACGTGTCGCAGGTTCAATTCCCGCAAAGAAAAACTTTTAGTGTGATCCACACATTGTTATTCCGGATTTTACCGTCATTTGTATGTAAAATTGTAAGTTTATAAACGCAACCACGACACAGGAGGAAATCCTAGTGTCAGCTAAATGGATGACGGGCAAACATGTAGGTATGGAAAATGTTTAATAGATCATTTAAGTAACTATAACATTTTCTCCGTAACTAATTGTAAATAGTCATCATAATAACAAATGATAGTCATGAATAGAGCTTTCTGATGCCATTCTGGCCTAATTGAAATAAATGATTTTGACTTTGACTTTGACTTTGACATACGTCTGGTCGTTATTGGTCAGTAGTTACATTCTGCCCGTCAACCTTAGTATTTGTTGTTCTCATCTCTCAATGTCTAGGCACATTCAAGTACATAATTATTTAGTAATGTTACAAGTTCTAACCATGCTAGGCTGCAGGACAAATATTTGGGTACATGACACCCGTCGGAAGAACAGTCTTGACAATTAACTTGCGGGTACTCACGTGAATATACTGAGAAAAGCTAAAAGTTTCGAACCTACGCCAGCCAGTGAGCTGCGCGATATCGCCGCGACCGCGCACGCTGCTCATGAGGAAGAACCCCTCTGTGGTTCGAAACTAGTAGAGCTTTTCTCAGTATATTAACGTGAGTAACCCGCGATTTTAGTTAATTTAGTATGTCTCACGATAGTTATTATAAAAACCTAGTCTTGACAATAATACCCTCACAATCAAATCACCCAAACCTATTTCATCACACAACAAAATCTAAACCATTTCTATCCACGATGATAAACATAAAGGCGCAATGTTACAACATGTCTAAACTCAGTTGTACCGCCACAACAAAAACTGGGCCATATCCAACTCAATAAAGCTGATACGATAGAAAGAAAATAAAATTTTATTCGCAATGTTAACCCTTCGTAAAATTGTTGAATTACTGCCTTATTTTTTGTTAACTTGTGAACTTCGACTAGATTGTTTGGACCAGTGATTGTAAATGCGACAACTGAGTACACAGTCATGGGACGAGCAAAGTAACATTTGAATTTTTATGAAGTTCTCAATAGTAGCATGGACCCCTTTTATTGAGGGTGGAAAATTAGAAAAATTAATCCAATGATTTCTCCTGCCTTTGGTTAGGCGATAGGAAGTGTTAGACTCTTGCTGACTAAGAGCTTACTAACTACTACTGCCCTTCGAGCTGGAGACCCACCCCGGCAACCCTTCCACCAAGGCCTTCCTCGGCTCAGTAGTTTGGAGTCTGGAAGTGTGACTTATGACAATAGCCACTGCTGACCAAAAGCCACTTCTCTCACGGAGAATGTTTGAGCATTAATAACCACGCTAATTAGAAATTATAAGCCCAGTTTCCTCACGATGTTTTCTTTCACCGTTTGTCAGTGGTGTTTAAATAATCTTCGAAAGTACATCGAACTCGGAAAAATCACATTGGTGACTTGCCGTTTGTAATATTGAAACCCGCACTCTCATGTATAAGAAGTGAGCGTCTTAAACCTCCATCAACCAGCCCAAACTATTTACAGTACTCACAAGAATTTCGCATCCGTATTTTATATACAATCGCTATATATAATCGCTTCCAATTTCATAAAACTTCTACATTTTTCGACAAATAACAAGAACAATAATAATCTCGTGAAATCCTAGTAAAGTTCTTTATTGGCTACGGATCTGGTGAATGTAAGGTTTTACGAGGACAGATGAATAGGGATGTGCCTCCTCAATGTACCCTTTTTATCGACAATGTTACGTCTATAGTGATGCGATGAAATCTGTCCATGAAATCTAAATAGAATTAACGGTTACAAAGATGAACGAATTTGTTCAGGTACGATTTTTGGGTTGGGTAAATGGTTTCTAGGATTTTTGCGCATTTTTTATGGATAGCATAATTTTAGAATCAATAGGAGTACAACTGTCTACCTCCTCAGGACAATTCCCGACATGATGTCATGTATAATATAAGTATATCTTCCGTTTATTCCAATTGTGAATACACCTTAAATAGTCTCTTCTTTACAGGAATTTATATTTGTGTTTAATAATTTAAATTTAGGCTAATAATTATTCTCTTGTGCATGATGTGTTAGCCTTTAATTGATTGTTACAATGGCAAAAGTGTATTTTAAACCGATTTGTTGAAATATGATGTGTAAATAGTCGTTGGCTGACGTTAAATAAATAAATAATGAAATGTTATGATTCAAATATTGTGTAAACTGTAAATATTCCAGTTCTATTATGCAATATAGGGCTCAGCTTAGCTTTACAAAGTTAATTCCATTTTTTACAATTCGCAACCTGACATATATTTTACAATATTAACCAAATAACAAAAGACTAAAGTAACAATATTTCTTGTAAAGGATAATGTTAATGTTTCAGCTTTAGAAGCATACACTTGTGGCCAGCTCGCCGGACCCTTTTTTTTTAAATTGCAAAGTTTATTTAAATAAAAGTATTAATTTATTATGAAAGGACACAGGATTACACGACATGAGTTAGAAAAAGTTGAATATTATGTAAATCGCTGGTATGAGACGACCCGGTTTAGGGAAAAAATGGTATCTACCCAGATGGTTGATTTATTTGTTTTTGTAATTATTCAAAACATGGTTATAAAACGGTTTTAAGTACAATATTCTAACACAAGGATATTATGCTGTTATACCCAAGGCTAGATGCAGTGTTTATGTCAAAACAATTTGTTATTGGAAACTTCGTTTTGTTACCATACAAATTACTAATTCTGATACGTAATTTTAGGCCTTTAGTAGTTTTTGAGGGGAATTTTAGGCCTTTAGTAGGGGAGGGGTAGGGGGGCCTTTAGTAGGGGGGTTCACAAATACTTTTTTGCATAGAAATAACCTTTTTAGGAAAGAAACTCAATGATGCACATAAATTAACAAACATCTCGATTCATAAATATAGTATAATATAGTAGCCGTTCTCGCCTCGTTGGCCGAGTGGTCGCAAGTATAACTGCCGGGGTCGCAGGTTCGTTTCCAGGGTCGGGCAAAGTATTATTGGGTTTTTAAATATCTCAGTAGTAGCACGGAGTCTAGAAATGTGCCGGGTATATGGCAATAGGCCGCCTACTATAACATAAATAGTGAAAAGTGGGTGTTACATTGTACAGTGGCATTAAGTGCCGTAATGTGCACCTCTGCCTACCCCTTCGCGGATAAAAAGGCGTGATATTATGTTAAGCCGTTCTCGCATCCTTTTTTTACATTATCTTGTAATTTAAGATAGAATATGACGTTACTAACCAAATACCACAGACCAATCAAACAACTAGGTGTGCAATGAAGTCTTAATTATTTCACCAAAGTACTATCCTAAGATTACTAGAACAAATCCAATTCCGGCAATGAGTAAGATGTTCTCTCTCTAACTTTACGATAGTGGCTCGACTATCTCCGGGACATCGGTCATTTTCCGGGATCACACAGAATCCCGGTATCCCGGGGTCTTCCCGGACTGAATACAAATGAATCTATTATCTGCTCAGTGTAGGGCCATGAAAACTGTGGTGGGATTAAAATACTATCAGTTAATTTAATGGTTTTGTTTATTTTACTTGATATTAGAGTTTGCAAGCTCCATTGCTATCTGAGAATCGATTAAGGCGATTTTAAATTTTAATTTTTAGGGTATAAACTTTTTAGGTTAAATAAGACTGCCTCCTTAGCCAAGTGGTCGCAAGTGCGACTGCTGGGCAAGGGGTCTCGGGTTCGATTCCTGGTTCGGTCAAAGTACTACTGGTTTTTTTTGAGCAATATCAGTAGTAGCACGCCCCCCTATTACATGGGACTCATAGCAAAAATAGTGAAAAGTGGTCGTTACATTGTAGAGTGGCATTAAATGCCGTAATGTGCACCTCTGTTTACCTCTTCTGGGATAAAAGGCGTGATGTTATGTTTGTTTATAGTTCGCAAGCTCGATTGCTGCCTTATTAGAATCGATTGCAGAATTGCGATATTTTTTAGACATATTCTCCAAACAGATATCAAGAAAGTAATTTAAATAAGTATATGTATAAGAATAACGAACATGAGACGAACTAGCAGTCAAAAAATTTGATAGACAGTATCTTTCTTCCAGTTCGGCTGCACAGAACTAATTTATATTTGATTGAAAATTTAAACAATAATTTTCTACGAACAAGTATTAATATATGTATATGACAGAAATTCTCAACAGCTATTAAGCAGACTGCGAATTAAATTACTTATAAATATAATAACACTTTTAATAAATTATTATTAATGTTACCTTCAGTGTGTAATAAACAGCTATGAAATGATTCCTTTCACACCTGAAACAAATAAAAACACAGTTAGAAATAAAATTTAGAAAATCACTACAGCGGCGTTTAAATTCTATTAAATATTTGAGTCCTGTTAGTCAAGTGATCGTACCTAAGTGCGATTGCCGATCAAAAGGATTTGAGGTCGATTCTCAAGTCAGCCTTTTATCTGCTTTATTCCCGTCCCTAAAATCGGTAATAGGGGTCGACTCTCAAAGTTGGGAAAAAATTATCTCCTTAATTTTTGACCATTAAAAAATAATCATTACATATTTCAATTGGAAATAATAGTACCTATTACTTGCATATTGTGACGTTACTAGTACTTCACTACAAAGTATAAAACAAAGTCGCTATACGCCGTCTGTCTGTCCCTATGTATGCTAAAATCTTTAAAACTACGCAACGGATTTTGACGCGGTTTTTTAATAGATAGAGTGATCCTTAAGGAAGATTTATAATACATGCATATTGCACCCGTGTGAAGCTGGGGCGGATCGCTAGTAAAGTATAAAATCGACATAAGAAGTCGAACGAACAATTTTAGGTTCGAGTTTACGTTCAAGTTCAAGAAAGCGTCATCAACCAACCAAAACATTTTTTAATAACATAACATATCATCACGCCTTTTATCCCCGAAGGGGTAGGCAGAGGTGCACATTATGCCACTGTACAATGTAACACCAATTTTTCACTATTTATGTTATGAGTCCCATGTAACAGGGGGTGAGCCTATTGCCATATACCGGGCACAATTCCAGACTCCGTGCTACTACTAAGAATTTTTTAAAAACCCAGTAATACTTTGCTTGCCCGGCAGTCGCACTTGCGACCACTCGGCCAACGAGGCAGCACCTTTTTTAGTATAATGCCAATATTAAAACAAAAAGTGTAAAAGCTATATAACAGTTCTAATTTATAGCAATTTGGTACAATGACCGTGTTTGCAGTAGCCGTCAGTTTGATAGTAAAAAATGGTGGCAATGTTTGGTACGCATCACCGCTTCGAATAGAGAAAAGTAAGTGACCGGGATTCTGGTAATTAATGATCTTCTTCTAAGTAGACTGGAACTAAATAAACTATGTTACGGAGTATAGATTTTATGTAAAATAATCTATTGAGCATATTTTTTCGTACTTGATAAGGCAGCAATTATGTAGTGGGCCAGAGGTTTATGACGCCCGCTTCTCATGTATGTGTGTTCGAAACCTACCAACAGCAAGTACCAATGTGACTTTTTCCGAGTTATACGTACTTTCTAAGGTTATCTAGACACCACTGGCAAACGGTGAAAGAAAACATCGTGAGGAGATCCGGGCTTATAATTTCTAATTATAAGTATGATCAAACCTTTACCGTGTGAGAAGAGGCTTTTGGTCAGCAATGGCCACTTATAGGCTGTTGATGATAATGATGATGATGATGGAGGTAGCGATTTACCGTCTTATGATGTATAGCTTCTGTTAACGGCTTCGCCCGCGTTCTCATAGGATGAAAAGTAGCCTATGTCTTATTCCAGATCATAATCTACTCCTCTCCCAAATTTCATCCGAACCCCTTCAGCTGTTTTGACGGGAAGGAGATTTCGTTGCGGGATATAAGACAGTTGTTAATATCCCTGGGATGCAATGGATTTCATTGTTTCGGTATTGTTATGGGGCATGGTTGTATCTACTGTAGATTGTTTTTTTATGGGATGACCCAGGAAACGAGCAGACAGATCACCTGATAGTAAGCAATCGGTATCGCCCATGGATACCTGAAACACCAGAGGCGTCACAAGTGCGTTATCGTAGTATCGTGTAGTTTATTATACGGACCTTGTGGAATCTAGAACGAATTTCCGTGCGTTTAGGCGTTTTTGCCATACCTATTATTGGAAGCAAGTATAACAGCTCACACATAGGACCCACTTAGTTTTTAGTCAAATTTCCGTGGTGCTTGGCGACTGGGCTTCACCCAGTTGTACAGTGATACAGTCTCTTCTTTGTGCCTTTAGGCTTAATTCATTCTGTCTCCTGCAGTAATTCACCGAGGGAAGTGAAAACCATAGTTTTTCTTCTTCTCCTATCTTATAATATCTTCTGATTCACTTCGTTGCGGGAACCAAGACAGTTACTCATGTCCCTGGGACGCGCTGGACTTCAGTGTTCCGGTGTTTTCATGGTTGTATCTTCTGTAGATCCTGGCTTACAGGAGTTGCAGCGGTTTTGGGAAGTTGTGGCGGGCTTGTCTCATTTAAAAAAAAAAAAGTGCGTTATCGGTCTTTTGGGAATATTAATTTGGGGATTGTTGGGGATTCAGGGATTGGGGATATTTGGGAAGGGGGTGGCGGGTAGGACTCCGGTAACCTCATTCACACGGCGGAACTCAACGTAACCGTTGTTTCACGTTGGTTTTCAGTGAGGCTGTGGTATCACTCCGGTCGAGCCGGCCCATTCGCGCCTAAGCATAGCTCTTCCACACTTAAAACTGCTTACAGGAGTTACAGTGATACTGGAAGATTGTGGCTGGTTTTCCCCCTAAAAATATCTATTGATGACGATTCTAGGTTCAGTTATAACTTGTTAAGAAATAGTCATAAGCAAACCATTCATTTCAAAACCATTTTCGAATTATGGCTCCTTCTTCGAATTATGAATGTGGCTTATGATACAATCCTAAACAATAATTTATCTCTGTGACAAAGTTCATTCAGATCTGTTCAGTAATTTATGCGTTAAAGTTTAAGAAATATACATACACCATCACAAACTTTCTCATTTTAACTCTTTTATAATATTAGTAGGATCCTAATGACTCTCATTCTGTTATAAAAGGCGTACGCAATTCGTACGTCGCCGTTTTTAAGGCTTAAACATAAGTAGGTTCCTAAGTCCGGCTTTGAATGGCCGTAATTCGGTTTCGCAGTCTCTTAACCTGGGTCTTTTTTACCAAATTTGTGAGAATACGATATACCTACATACATACGTAAATGTGTTATAATACGATGGGACAGAGAACATGGAAAGACGGAAAATACCACACACACACACACACATACACACACACACACACACAGACACAGACACACACGTGGTTCTTTGTTCGCATTAAAAAAGGTGTTTCTTTATTTAGGGAATTTTCCTTAAGAATTCAAGTTATGTAAATTGGAGTGAGTGTATTGCCAAACGTTGTTTACTATTTGGAATGGTGAGCTTTCTTCTATGGGAAGTGTAAATAAACAATAAGTGTGGGAGAGCCATGCATCGGCACGCATGGGTCGGCGACCGGAGTGATACCACGGCCTCACAGAAAACCGACGTTAAACAAAGCTTGCGTTGTGTTTCGTCGCGTGAGTGAGTTTACTGGATCCCCAGTTACCCCTTCCTATTCTCCCGAATCCCCGAACCCTCCATAATCCTCAAATTCCCAATTCCCAAAAGGCCGGTAACGCACTTGTTACGCCTTTTTTTTTTAAGGGGGGAAAATCATCGAATGACTGCTCCCGCCTGGGTGAGGCGGGAGGGAGTGTCAGACTCTTACTGACTAAACTTGTTACGCCTTGGTGTTTCGGGTGTCCATGGCCGGCGCCGATTGCTTACCATCAGGTGATGCGTATGCTCGTTTACCGGCTTAAGCTATAAAAAAAACAACAGGATTAAACAATCCACAACACGTTTATACATTTTGAGTCTAAAACTAACATCCTTAATTCATACACGCACACACACACACACACACACACACACACACACACACACACTCCCCCCTCACTCACACACACATACACACACACACCCTCACTCACACACACATACACACACACACACACCCTCACTCACACACACATACATACACACACACACACACACACACACACACACACAAACACACACACACACACACACACACTACTGATATTTTTTTTAAAAGCCCAGTAATACTTTGGTTCAGCTGCAAGTTAATAATTATATACATCTTCAAGTTGTATTAGGTTCAATTACAGGGGCAAGCATTTCACATTAACAGTAACTACGGAATCTGGTATGGTGGACACAGGTCATTCAGGAGTCATTGACCTACCTCATATGACTATCCCTTTGAATATTAAAATTAATTTATTAACATATCATAACACACGAAATGCAGTTGCGAAAGGCAATAATTGTCGTTTTGTAATCTTATATTTAAGATGGCTGTAATGTACACATCAAACTGTACAGAACCAGCATATCATGATCTCGGTTTTTATAATCTTTCCGAACGTTCAGAGCTCAGTTTATACTGGTTTACGTAACTTGATGTGCGGTTGTGTGAACAGTGTTTACCGTATTTGGCAAAAGGGGTTACAATTAAAATTTACATAATTCGTGGTTGTGTGTGGCGACGTTAATATTAAATGAAAGTTATGTATGTCCGTACAGTCTCATAATTGCTTGAATAAATACTCTTTCTACTGGCTTTATGACTGTAATTGTCACAATATGGTTGTACTTTCTAGTTTTAGCTAAACGTTTATACTAATTAGAGTAGTTCCTATTTTTTTGTTTCCGACAATTATTTGTAGAATCATTCTTTTTTATTTCCTTGATGTCTTGATCACATATTTATTTATTTATTTGTTACTAGCTGACCCAGCAAAGTTCGTACCGCCTAAATTTTTTCTCCCCTTTTAAACCTTCCCTGGACACAAACATTTCAAGACCAAATTACCCAAATCGGTTCAGCTGTTCTCGAGTTTTAGCGAGACTAACGAACGGAGATTCATTTCTATTTCTATAGATATATTTACTACTTACCAAAGAATAGATAAAGGGGGTTCTTAGATATATATTTTTCTAATTAACCGATTGCCGATTATTTGACATGATAATTTCAAACTAACAAGCCATTATTTTATTTTCATTATTATGGCTTTCGGCTTACTAATGTAATTATTTGACGAGGAACTCGACTACTTTCAAGCCATGCTAGAGGCTATTTTATGCATATAAAAATTGAACAATCCTTTTGCGTTTCAGAGAAT